TCGCTACTTCTATGCGGTGACTTCGATACAAAACAAGAATTTTGATAAAAATCATGATCGGCTTCAGGTTGATAACTCTAAAGAGATTAAATAAAAAATTGATTCACTAGAAGAGCTGTGAGTAACTACATATACAATAAAACAGATTAAGAACGTTACGATTATTTCCTAAATAAATTATCGATAGAGACCATCTCAAGTTGCTACATTAATAATGATGCACAGAGTTAATATGAGGAGAAACTTGAAAATAACAAAATTAAAGTCTGACATTCATGGTGATTACCTAGTTTCAACATAACAGATAATAAAGAAAACGATGTAAGCAAATATATATTCTTAGTAATTTCTCATCAGAATTTACAACTACAGGTAGATATATTAATCCAGAACGATTGCTGTAATTAGTGGAATTATATGGATCAGATGATACAAGTGGTGATAATATTTATAACCAATCCATCAAAGTGTGGATCTACAGTTAATTACAAATTTGTATGTGCGTATGAGTTAAAGTAATAACAAAATGAGTGAATCATAAGTGTGAAAACGATTATCCAGAAGTTTGTGGAGGCTGTTACAATGAAAGTGGTGTTCGAGATACGTCAATCAACATCGAATACGAAAAGATTATATATCACGTTTTCCTTCAAAGATTTAATTGCTGAATAATTATTCAATTAAAATAATAAGGATTGCAATCAAAAGATTCTTTATATCTACACCACGCAATGTATTTATGACCCAATATACACTTTGGGTGCAAATAAAAAATATATCTTCAAGTCTAGCGATTGCTTTGTCCACTTACAATTTGTTCAAACAAGTTTTTTGGATGAAACGCTGGAACTACTTATATTTCAACCGCTAGAACTATTTCAAAGATAATTGTTACAAAAAATGTTTTCTATATACTTAGTGCCCAATTTTTATCAAACTATTCATTCAAATATTGAGCAGGCCCTGCAGGTTTACTCCTGAGATTTTTAAGGATGGTGGTTCAGTATTAGCAGTGAGATTAACTGAGGTCTTAGGTAGAATTTAGGGACTGGACGTAATCTCATCTGACTGGTCTCAATCACTGATTGTGCCAGTCTATAAGAAAGGACAAAAGTCCTCTTGTGACAATCACAGAGGAATCAATTTGACTAATATAGTGTCTAAAATATTAGCTTCAATAATACTTCGACGCCTAACTAAAGCTCGTGAAGAGCAGACTAGAGAAAATCAGGCTGGTTTTCGACCTGGATGTGGTTGTATAGACCACATATTCACACTACGTCAGGTTCTAGAACACAGACACACGTTCAGACGCCCCACAATCGTAGTATTTCTCGACCTTAAAGCAGCATTCGACTCTGTCGATCGTAAGGTTCTATGGCAGTGTTTGTCACTGAAAGAAGTACCAAAGAAGTACATTAACCTTATAAAGGCTCTCTACTGGAACACAACTGGTCGAGTGAGAGCTTATGGCGAACTGTCATCAGAATTGATCACCTCATGTGGTGTTCGTCAGGGCTGCCCACTCTCTCCATTCTTGTTTAACTTTGTCGTCAACGTACTTTTAGAGATAACACTTTCCTCGTCTAGATTTCCAGGGGTTGAACTTCTACCGGGAGGTTCACTTGTTGACTTGGAATATGCTGATGACATAGTTCTATTTGGTGAAGACGCTGACAAAATGCAGAGTCTTCTGACCACTCTAAGCAACAATGCAACCATGTTCGGGATGCGATTCTCTCTCTCGAAGTGCAAAATGTTGCTTCAGGATTGGGTTGCATTGACACCCGAACTAATGATAGGGAGTGAAGTAGTTGAGTGTGTCGACCGCTTCACTTATCTTGGAAGTCTCATCAGCCCTTGTGGTCTGGTGTGTGACGAAATCTCAGCACGGATACAGAAGGCTCGACTAGCTTTTACCAACTTGCGTCATTTATGGAGTCTATCAACCAAAGGACGGGTTTAATGCGCAGCAGTTCGTTCCGTCCTACTTTATGGCAGTGAAACATGGCCGGTAAGAGTAGAGGATATCCATAGTTTAGTAGTATTTGATCATAGGTGTCTTCGAAACATTGCTCGTATATCATGGGACCATCGAGTAAGTAACGCAGTTGTTAGGAAACGGGTACTAGGTAAGGATGGCAAACCAATTGATGACGTAATGAAACTTCATCAGTTGAGATGGCTTGGACATGTGTTACGTATGCCCAACATGGCACAAGTCGAAAAAGTCACTGAAAAGTGGACTGAGTCATGTTGGTAGGTGTAGACTACCTGGTTGGGGACCGCGAGATGATAGCAACCGATGGTTAGAGACCCTGAATGACATGGCTCAAAATCGTTTGCAATGGCACAGGTGCATCCACTCTTTGTGTTCTCCCAAATTTTAAATCTCTTGATTCCTCCTTGTCTCTTTTTTCTCTTCCCAAATTTATTTCACTGTATTATACTCTTTAAATAACATCTCCAAACACTAATTTTCCCGATTACTGCTTATACTCTTATTACCTCTACCACTACGAGATTTGAATCGGCCACTACATCTCTGTGCTAATGTGGTGTGGCAACTCGAATTGATGTACGTATGTACGAAGTTCTACGTTGTTACTGACTGATTGACTGAGCAATATTCGTCTAAAATTAATTCTGCTCTAATTTCTTGTGTAGAAAAATAACTTGACCGAATAAAAAAGTATACAAATTCGAAAATCACCTAAACAGGTGCAAAAATTAACATTATTTCCACAATAATATTAGCAGTTAATGCATAAGTACTGCTAGACAGAAGAAACATAAATCCCTTAATTTTATTAACGTTGAAATTCTACATATATATATAACACCAAGGCCCAAACACACTAAAAAGAACTACCGAAATCGTTGAGTATTACAACCTGTGGTAAGAAACTACCGCGGCGATTAATACCATTTAAAGCAATAAATAATTTATTTACAAAACAGAACAGAAATATCCAAACCAATAATCAGATCGTCAGAGAATTTCAACATACCGAACTCGCTCCAGTTACACCTCTTCGATGGTCCAGATCTCCACGCTTGGGGAATTTCACAACACATTGTTTTGGAGTTGGTGGGATCCAGATACTTGTTAGATCAGTACTAGTAGCAGAAGCTGAGCAGTTACCATCTTGGTTGTCATTATCACAATCAGAATTCGTTGGTATTAATGAATTGGGAATGGGAGATAAGTTGTTTGTATGGGTGTTACCGGGATTGAGTGGTGGTTGTTCCTGAGGAGGTTCCTGTGAAGGGCTATTTGATGAAGGTAGTGAGTGTGAAAGTGGGATTTGCTCTGATGATCTGTTAGCTGGGAAAAAATTGTAATGAGTCGGACCCAATCTAACCGGAAGCTCAGCGAATTCATCATTTGAACAGTCACCTAAAGGTGATTCCTGTCTCTTTACTGATGTTTCAGCCTCGTCTGACACACTATCGTCAAATCGAAGTGAAGAGAATCTCAATAAACGAGACAGATGAGATTCACAAACAGAAGGATCAATGGATTGAGGACGTGAGTTGACTCCACTTATTGTGCGATATCGACCAAGAAGACTACTATTACTACTGCTACTGCTCAATAAGCCAGGAATACTATCACGATTTTGTGTGAAACGAGCCATTCGAAGCAAACGGCGCTGATGAGTGCTTCGAGGCGTTCCAACCACAGAAGTTCTGTTTGTGCTACCTAGACCAACGGAGCGGGTACTACCAGACAAACCAGCTCCAACTGTTTGGTGCGAACTCCCTAATGTGCGACCCGGGTAAGCATGGTTTATTACAGACACTTGTTGATTGGACTCGGTATTTAAAAAATTTGGTCCACATGGTGTATTCACGTGGTTTGAATTTTCACCGAACGGAGGTTGACTTCGACTGCGCCAAAACAAGTTACTAGGTAGACTAGTGGTAGTACTTATCTCATTGTCTAGGTTCACATTTTGAACGGGTGATTCTCGAGACGATCGACTGGATTCAGAACGCGAATTTTGATTGTCACTGGTATATGTTTCTGAATCGTAAAAGGACATAGAATTAATTTATACAATTTCCTGCCTTTGATAAACACTTAGCAAGCTGAAAACGAAATGGGAAAATTTTTTTAATTATAACGAAACAAACGACAGATAAAAGGACTCATATAATACATTGAATCAATGTTTCTGGGATTCCCAGTGATTTAGAAAAACTTAAAAAGCACTGTCGGTGTCACTATACCTGTGAAAGAGTGAAAATCACTGACGAACAAAGAGATCAATATGTCATAAACGATAAATAAATAAAATTATGCAGCATATGATCTCTACAATACTGGCTTCTAAGTGTTATGTCCTTTACCACTTCCAACTTCTTTACAATGAACAGATATTTAAAAAAATTTAATGGCTATCACTAATAGTCAAAGACGAGTGATAAAAAAACGAAAATTATGAATAATGTCAAGAATTACTCATTCAGAAAGTACTCTACTTTAGCATCATAGAGTTAACACACAGATGAAATTCCGACATTCTGACGATTGTCAGGAGAGCAATCACAAGCAAGGTTCTCATTATAAGCATCAATTATATGATTGAATATTCTTATTCGCGATTCCCAACTGCTTTCGACAAGAGGGTCGAACTCATAATAATTAGATTGGAATAAATTGTTCTGATCATAGCTAAAGGATTTAAGAATCGATATTTTCATAAGAATTAAGGACAGAGCCCTTTCCTTTAATTTAATCAAAATATTCAAGAGACTCAATGTACTTCTACTATTTTAAATTAAACAACCAACAAGCAGTTCACAGGAAAACATACTAAATACCACATAAAAACAAGACCGTAATATCGAAAGTTTTATATTAATAAAAGAAAGATTAGATTGAAGAATATACAAGCAACACTGTGAACCTCTTTATATACAAATTCATTTTTCAGTAAAGATATTAAGAGATCGATTGTAACACTGAAAATTTATGACTTTGACAGTTTTTCTTATTCGTCAAATTCACCCCAGAGTGCATGGTCATAAACAACAGAGTTCATATTACGCATCAGATGGGATGTTGGTTCACTAGACTTATCGTCCTTTTTGGTAGATTTTGCAGCCAAAACAAATAGTCTGTCTAACACACAATTTGCGGACATGGCAGCTTGATAACGCCTTTTTTGACTGCTTTCAGTAGTTGTAGATCTAGTTTTATATAGTAGGGAAAGAAAGCAGTGTAAAATTTAAAAAAATATGGAATCGTCTCGAGTTAAAAATCAGCTTACACTTAAAATCACTTACTCAATATCAGAAACAGTCATCCTCATATATTGAGGTTCTGAATTTTATGAAGTTACAGTAACTCCGGTGCTTTTTTTTATTTTTTGGATAAAATAATGTACACTCACTGAATATTAATAACAAGGACAAAAGTAACGTATGCTAATGGAACTAAGTAACTTAGTACAGATACATGTACTAAGTTTCAAGTCACATATTACGTGTGAGGGTTACTGATGTTACTCAGGCTGCTCTCACTGAATTGCGTGAGGAGTAAGCAACGAATACATTTTTCGGCTAGCTAGATATGGAGACTGTTGAGAGTATTTCAAGTTTAATATCTTGAGGGATGGACAATTCAATCGATGATAAGTCCATACCAGTCTCGTTTCATACGACGTAAAAATATGGTATTGGTAAATGAAAAGACCGATTAGTTAATACGTGATTTATAATTTTATGGTGCCTAATTTATGACTGTGACATATAAGTTGTCACGATAATCATATTCATTTATTAGATTTCTCAAAAGCACAGGGTATTTCATAAACTACAGTAGGGAAAAGGAGAAATTAAATAAATTAGTTCACACGAAAAGACCAATCAATTGCAATCGCATCAAAGTATAAATTCTAATTTCAAAAATCCAGCACTTGACAACCGATTGAAAATATACATGATTACAATATACAATGAATCACTATGATTTGATATACTCTTTGGCTTTAGAGAAATACAAGGGCTGCTTCAACATGCCGGGAATGCCACTTAATTGTAAACCGAGATAATGAACAATGGTTTCAAGGAACATATAGATCGAAAGAACAATGTCATGTTCTTTTCCAAAACCTCGATGGTTCCTTAAAAAGATCTATTGTGAATAAAATATTTTTTACTAGTATGGAACACGACCGTCTCAACGATAATTATTTCTAATTAGTCTTCAGAATTATTATAGTAGTGTTTAGATACAGGAGGAGTGTGACCTAATGTACACAAAATTTATATGCTGCGATTGAGCTAATCACTTCTCGGCAGGCTTCAGTGATGTAGTAAGAACTCAGAGAATGAAACCAGAAAGGTTTACAGAGATAAACAGGTTCGATCACTGTGTCAGCGTAGAGGCTGTGTCATGAAATGCTTAAAATGAGTCTCACATGCATATGTTTATTCATTATTATTTATCTCTAACACATAGGTTTTGATATTTCATGCATTTTATTCTCGTATTTCATTACTTGTTTTCGAAACAAATTCTATATTTCTAGATTTTCCTACAACTACTGATACTACTGTTGTTTCGACACCTTTGATACTCACCTTACTAATTTCAATTCGTTGTGGTGATATCGTATACATTCGTCTCAGGTCTTACGTTGATTAGGACTGACTGAAAAACATGTTATAAGCTACTTGTATATCGAAGAAAAGCAAACCATGAACTTCTAGATAATCAACTACAACTTCAGTAATACGCTCTTGCTTAATAATTTCATATATCATGCAAAAAAACTCACATATAAAAATTGGTCTCATTTATTCCATCACAAGTTGGATGATTTTCATAAGAACTATCATCTTCTTTGTCTACTGATCTCTCACGTTCATTCAACAAATCATCCGAATACAAATCGAACTCTTCCGGAGAGCATGGTTCAATGTCAAATTTATCCATATCGCCCTTTGTACTACTGTTTAAATCATTTGAATCAGATGGAGAAAAACTAATCCATAAGAAAGGATCAGGTGAGTCAACAGGCAGAAGAGATGGCGCTTTGTTTACATCATTATAAATGAAGGATAATTGTTGGATTTGATTGAAGAATAGTGAGTGAGGTAAAGTGTTGCTTAAAATTTCCTGCATACAGAAGAGAAAACCATAAAACGAGTTTTAATAGCTTTAAACCATTGCAAAATGCTGTAGACTGCTTGCGGTGCAGAAAGAGAATTATATTTTGTACAACAGGGCTACAGTAGCAAGTGTAAAATTTCGGTATTACACCACAATCCACTTGACATCATAATTGAGTTACTATAAAATAAAACATTTTAGTCTGTCTATACTTTTGAACTTTAAAAAGGAAAACCAGTGGCTTGATGGTTAAAGCATTAGAGGTTCTGGATTTCAACTTGGTCCCGCCTACTGTAGTTTGGTCACATGAGCAGAAGTGCTAGACGTTCGAGCATGTAAATCGATATCCCATAAGCCGGTTATATCGGTTCATAAATAGAAAATAATAACATCTGATAACGTCTCAAGACACTGTTACACCATCTCTAGAACTCCAACTAGGTATTCGCGAAGGACAAACAGATGCCATTCTTGTACGGCTCTCCTTCATACCACTACATCGTGTCATACACTGACCACCTCTCCAATTTTTCCAACCAGTCCCAGCATCGGCAAATAGTGTGCGATGTGAAGTTCGCCGAACCGACATTCGTAAGACGCCCGAGCCACCGAATTCGGTGTTTCAAGATGGCAACACTAATTGAAATATCGTCCCTGCACCCAAACACACGACGCCAAACCTCTGCGTTACAAATAGGGTTGCCAGTACATTTCAACAGTCCTCTGGGGACAACGACGATCAAACACAAAGAGTCAGTTAAAACCCCCAACTCGGAGAGGCCAGGTCTTAAAAAGATAGGGCAGAACTGTTCTCACCGACGCGTCGTAGCTCCAACCGTTGACAGTCAGACTAACATCACGAAGGCGTCAAAGATGATCTAGGTTGGCATAACTCGCTCTGGCTTTCATCATACGTAAATTAATCTCACGCCAGCACATAAGCAACTACCCAGACACACGAACTGCCCAACTATTTCTATCTGCTCACCACCCAGGGTGAGTGTAGTTTTGGGGTCCTACCGATCTTGTAAAAGTACTTTGCACTTAGGTGTAAAGCATATGCCATACTTACGGACACGGATTAGGAGCCTATTGCATGGTTCGGGTATTGTCATAAAATATCATCCGCACACTCATGGTCCCAAAGTTTTTCCACAGGCAACAGATTCACATCACTATTACCTACATCCATCAGAACTGTTTCCAGATCGTCATCGATGGCAAAGTTAAAGAGGAATGGTGGGATTAGGCAACCCTACCTAGCCCCACTGCTTGAATGAGACAGTGGTGAGACGTGGTTGTATGCCCTCACTATCTGAAGTGTTTGAAGGGCTATCAAGCTGCAAATAAACGTCTCAGGCACACCCTTCTTTAATGGACAATCCTGGAAAAGTCTTGTCCAACGAATCGAAGGCAACCGTACTGTCGAAAAACACTATTATGGTTGGTCTGTAATAAGTATGACAATGTTCTAACATTTGGCAGATAGTGAAGATATGACCAATCATCATCGACCATAACGAAAACGAGCCTACTGCTCGCGAGTCAATCTTTCTCGAATTTTGGACAATCTATAAACTAAGACGGAAGCTAGTAGTTTGGACGCAATTGAAAGTAGACTTATCCCCCGATAGTTGTTACAGAAATGACGTGAACCCTTTTTAAAAATAGGAACAACTATTGACTCATTCCACAATGATGAAACACCCTCTAACCGCCGGACCTTTGTCAACAACGCAGTCAGTTCTTTAACCAGAATGCCTCCAACATCCTTAAAAAGGGCTGAAGGTAAGTCAGCCATATGGCCATGAGAATTTGTAGCGCTACTGGAGTTGGGGTTCCTTGAGGACTTCCGCCTCCTTAAGTGGATCAGTCGTCGCATGCCATGGAAAGCAGGATAGGTTGATCGATGTTGCGGGGGGGGGCAGCATACTATCGTTCAAGACGTCGGTAGATGTTATTGATTAGCATCATGTTAGCTTCGCAAATTGCTTCACTCACACCAGATTTCTTGGTGCCAGTGACTAGGATGAGTTGCTTATAAGCGGGAAGTTTCGCGAAGCAGCAAGCAACTTTACTCGCCATTTTCATGTCGTCATGAAACTGCGGCCAATGCCCATCTATACTTTTCGGTGGCTGATAACTAACCTTGAACTTAGCCCGATTTGATATTTGGCTGCAACCAATTTTCTGTAGTCATTCATTCAGGACGACGGATTTGTTGGCCACTGAAGAGTAAGATAAGATTAGCGCAGATGAGAGCATGATTAGAGTCCAGATAAGTATTCCAAAAGGATTAACACTCCTGCACACAGTCACCTAAGTTACTCTCCTACGAGTATTTAAATCTCCAGCTAGCACTACAATATCTGCCGAATGCGATTTCCTGAAGTCATTTGATTTCCTTTAGAACTCCTTCTTGATTGCATCGGGGCAGCGATCCGTCGGGACATAAGCAGAAGATAACGAAAAGACATCTTTTCTCATACCGATTTCTGCCTTTGATGGAGTTTCCTATCCTAACAGCGCATAATTGACTATCGATGGGGATCTAATCGAATAATGCCGGCTCTGTTCCAGCGCTTATTAAGACACGAATTCTAGAAAAACCAAACGAAGATGCCACAGAGTTTCCGGACAGAAGCACGTACAAGTCTTTGGCAGTGATAAATGGAGACGGAATGTGTAGTGCTTCACCAGAATCTTGAATACAGGTCTTGGATAGACAACAGACATTGATGTTGAGACTTTCTAAAGACATGACCAACCCTGTCTGTTGCCCGATCTGCATTAGTGTGCGAACGTTTAAGCAAGCCAATTTGAATGGCACATGTGGTTTCAGAAAGGCTAGTTCAGTATTCGTAGTCGGTGGTATCACTCAACATTGAAACATTCAGTGACCTGAGATCCTTTATATAGGACAGGGTTTTAACCATAGGCAAGCTCCTGTATAAGTTGAAAAATAAAGTACACAAAATGAGAATAAAAAGGAATAGATAATGACATAGAATATAACGGTAAAAAAAGTATGTTACTAAATGATTGTGAATTCGATTTGTCTGAATGCGAACTGAAGTGAGAATAATTTTTTTATTTGCGTGAGGGCTGGGACACTGCCTTGGTGCCCAAACCGAAGCGGGAGGTTTTCTTAGGGGGCCACATCCAGAGCCTTTGACCTAAAGGTCTAATCCACAGGGCAGTGGAGCAACGTTAGGAGATGCAGTACCATGGTAGCCGTTGACTAACAATAGGTTCATATTTGTAACCTGAAGGTGGAATTTGGCTCTGCTGATGGATTCTTTTGCCATGCCTGTTATTAAAAGGAGTACTGAATGAATACATTAACCTTGTACAGGCTATCAACCCGAATACTAATGGTGGAGTCAGAGCTCATGAAGAACTGTCATCAGAATTGATAAATTCAAGTGGTGTTCGTCAGGGTTGTCCGTCTTACCCATTTTTATTTACTGTTATCATAAACATCCTCACTATCCTGTTTTTCTAGGGTTTGATCCACCAGGGGATTGACCTGTTGATTTAGAGTAAACACATGATATAATTTTGTTTGATCAAAGTGCCAAAAATCCAGTCTTCTGACTACCTTAAGCCACGATGAAAGCGTATTTGGGATGTAATTCTTTCCCCCGAACGCAAAATGTTACTTCAGGATTGGCTTGCGCCAGAGCCTGAATTAGTGATAAAGAATAAAAGAGTTGAACGTATCAACTCCACTTATTTTTGGAGTCTCATCAATTCTGGCTTTTGCCAACTTGCGTCACTTGTGGTGTAGGCGAGACACTCGCCTGTCAATCAAGAGGCGAGTTTACTGCGTAGCAGTTTGCTTTGTTCAACTTCATGGGTATGGAACATACCCATTAAGAATAGAGGATATTTGTAGGTTACTAGAATTCGACCATAAATTTCTTTAAAGTATCGACCGTGTATTTTGAAACCAGTGAGTAAGCAATGACTGAGTTAAGGACAGGGTACTACGTACTGATGGTAAATCAATCGGTGAGGTAGGAAATCATTATCAACTTAGGTAGTTGGGACATGTGTTAGTGTGTCTAACTACCATCTCCCTCGATGGAAGACGTTGCCTGATGTAGGATTCGGCTGAAACAGACTATTTTTCGGTAATCAATCCAAATACAAACAAGAACAATTAAAAGGATAGTTACAACACTTACCCGAAGACCAGCAGGAAATTTTAAAGTGGTCAAATTGAAATAGGCATGAAGCGATGGTTGCTTTTGTTGCTGGTGTAGAAAATACTGGCATATTAAATATTGCAATGTGATTGGGTAAGATTTTGCACGAATCAAACGAAAACCACTTCGTAACGTAGTTGAAGATACCATTGGATAATAATTATCACGTGGCAGACTACTCAGGTTTTAATCATTAAATGGATTATGTAAGAAAGCATACATAAATAAGAATGAGATATCCGATTGAGTGGATTACATGGGTTAGTGACACATATACAAGAATTATTAATTAATCCAGTTTTAATTAAGATCTTTTTTCCAATCAATAAGTAACATTTAAATGACATGTGACCACATACTGACTTTAAAAATGTAATGAGAATATCAAGACAGACTGAATAACAAGGAATACTGGTCACCCACTAGAAGTGATTTACCTTTCATTCAGAGGTAATGTAGAGATTAATTCCTCTCTATTTGACTCCAAAATATGTTATCCCGTTAACTCTATTTCAGCAGCCCAATTCCCATAATAGCACTATGAACTTACTCGAGAATTTTCAAAAGCGAGAACACTAGTTGTTGAGATGTTTAGTGTTACTAATTAATAACACCCACAGACACGAGAGAGGCAAGCGCACCGAAAAGTGAGTCAATGAGTAGAAATTCGAAGCACGTATACGTATTTTAAGACTTAATTAATATGTGGGTAAAGTTGTAAATTGTGTGTTAATAACCAATGGGAGGATAGACAAAGATTGTGGTGCAGACATGAGTCCAATTAGACTCACACATACTTTTACATGGTGGATTAATTATCTAAATCACGGCAGGTAGGTAAAAAATATTTAATGGGCTTACTTATAGTACCACTACTAATCATACACTCCAATCGTTGTTTTAAAAAAAAGACATACTTTGCGTGGTGTAGATTATTCTATTTGAAGGCTTATTCACTTTATTTTACTGACTCTATAACCCGCTGATGTAACCAAATGATTGTTAGTCTCATAAACAGGCCATTTGCCAATCACTAGGTTTTGCTATCACTACTACAGAAAATATTCCATCTTATGGATACAATGACATTAAATGTTTAAGTTCCTTTGGTGATTTTCATTTCTAATAAAGGAATAACAAGTTAAAGAATTTCTGAAGTCTTATTAATTCTAATTCAGGTAGATGAACTTGGAAAATAAAAGATCACCTGACTTCTGTAATTGCTCCAACCTAAAGTCACACGATATATTGGTAGTTCCAATATCTTAATAATTTAGCAATAGTACAAAAATACCCGAAGAAAGGTGTTATATGTAGATTTCAACAAGGTTATTAGAAATAATCTGTGGATATTTACTAATGGTACTATACGGGAAGAGTGAAAAGACTAAATACAACTAGTATATTTGTCTAAATAGCTGCATTTTAATAAGGATTTAAACGGTTGAGTGCGTTCCATTCGCATAATCGGCATTCTCAGTAATACTTTCATCGAGGACAGATGGGAAATATCATCCAGCACGTTTCTTTAGGACAGCATCCCACAGGGAAAGGTGCTTCTGGATAAGTGACGTCTGAAAAGGATATATATATTAAACATTTCTTCTTTCGGCAGCAGAACTTTGACAAAACATTATTCTCTTTTGATCAAATCATGCTTGTTTCGTTCATCTCACTATTCCTGACAATACTAGGACATTGATGATTTCCCGAACTCGACTTCCTGAAAGACTGCTAACCATTCCAGTCTGTGAAAGTGATTGAAGAGCGAAACTTAGGCTGAATAATCAGGTCATAATTGCGCTGGCGTGAGCATGGTCTACAAAACCCACATTTTTCAAACGTTTATGTCTTAAATGACTTCTAACCATGTCCATTACTTTGTATACTATTTCCATTTTACTAGAAGAAACCTATTCTAAGGGTTACTACTTTTATTCTTCATACTAATTGATTGCCGATAATTCAGTATTGTGGACAGACTTTATTCTGTAGCATTGAGTCCCCAGTAATTGACTATTTGAATGAATTGTAGTAACTGTGGAATGACATGATACGCTAAAAACATATCTTAAGCTTTGTTCAAGTTAAATACTAGGTACATGATTTTGGCCTCGGCTCTGAACCACAGATATTGTGTAAGGATTAATTGCACCACATAGTTACCGAAAAACAAGTTCAAACCTGGGACATGATTGCTGAGATTTGAATGTTTACATAACCGAAACACATGGAATCACAGACAAGTTCGTCTTCTGTATGCCATGGAAATATATATCGCACCTAATTTGACGTAACATTGAGACTTATGAACTCAGACTCAAATTGTCTTTCCCCTTCAACGTCCGTACATCGATGCAGATTACACAACAGTTAGTCGGTTGCCCTTAGAAAGTCTTGATATCACTGAGACCTGTATTCACAACTAGTGAGTGATTACGAATTCGGTCTTTATCCGTCAATTTGAAAAGCTTGTTTTATGTGCGCTTATTCACCGATCCTGTGGAATCTGAGTCTGATTTGGTTGGTGTTAGTGTTGCACTTAGTCATGAGGCTCTGCACACAAACACTTTAGCCACAGTGAAGGGATACAGCCACCTCTAATCATTCTATTCCAGAAAAGGGATTACAGGTTTCCCAATCTCATCAATTCTCGCCAACTCTATTGTTGATGATATTCTTGAAGCAGTTGTGATGGAAGTAGGTAGTGTTGGAGTATATCTGTTACCTGCAGAGACTTTTCGATCTGAAGTACTCGAGCGATATCGTCTTGTGCTGTGACAATCAAACTATGTATATCGCGTTTAATTAGTTGCCAATCAGTGACTGCAGGTATGGCACGTACTTCACACCTTCAAATGTAAATTACTCTTACAAGCCTGGCAAGAACTTGTGTATGCATAAACCCTTTGTAGATAGCCTTTAAAATTAGTCAAGATATTCTTATATCTCGGTAGTTAAGTGAGTCCTGGTGATGTCCCTATTGATGAGATCAGTCTACGTATAGTAAAAACCGAAGCGGGTTGTGACAATCTGGACAACTTTTGGAGCCATCCTGATTTAATGACAGTAAAAGGTAGGGTTTACAACATGCAAGTGACGACAGCTTTGCTTTATATCTGTGAAACCTGGCCTTTCCAAATTGAAAATGTTCAATGACTCTTTTTGTCCCATCATCGTTATCTCCGAAGAACTGCCAAAATCCATTGGCAACACCATATTATTAATTCTGAGGTTCGATGATGTGAGTTTGGATGTAGTGACGATAACTCAAGTGGTTTCATTAGTGGCTTCGACGTGTGTTAAAAATGTCATCCCAGCGATTTTCACAACGTACATTAATCGCCAACCCTGGAACGAAGTGAGCAGTCTATGAGGTGGTGCAAGGATTTGTAAGAAAACTATAATTTCAATGGTTGAGATCATAAGTCAATTGAAGCCAGACCGCCATGGAAAACCTGTAAGCACTGGACGACCGTTTCGTCCTATTGTGGGTCCGAGTTCAAATCTCGCGAGGCGGATCCGTGGATGCGCACTGCTGAGGAGTCCTACAATAGGACGAAACGGCTGTCCAGTGCCTCCAGGTTTTCCATGGTGGTCTAGCTTCAATTGACTCATGATCTCAACCATTGAAATTACTATGATATCCACAAAACCCTTCTATTAAGAAAACTATGAGACTGGAATCCGTTGGTCCGTCACGATCCCAAGATTTGGAACTTCTGGATGGTGAGACAGTAGCGGTTTTACTGCAGTTTTCTTATACAGTTTTCATAAATATAAAGGGATCTCCCTTAGCTCAAATTCTTCCCGGTTTATTTAACTGAACTGTTTTATCATATATTACACTAATTAGCTTACTTTTATTGATTTGTTTCAATTATATTCTCCTCCTTACTCTACCTCTTCACGATTTTATTTCCTTATTAGTGTGACGTATACCTATTTTGGTGCCTAGTTGTGAGCATATTTATTAATTTTAAACGTATATATAGTCTATTCGTCTTCAATTTTAACAGACCGTTCGAAGGTTATGGAGTAAAAAATAAGATACATGGGTGTCACCTACGACACAAGTGACGCAAGTCGCCAAAGACCAACTGAGCTTTCTGAGTCCATATAGAAATTTCGTCAGGCAAATCCATCAGTACTGATTAAATCTCAACGGCAAGTGCAGTGATCGATACACTCAACCACTTTACTCTCTATAGAAGCTTTGGGGTTAACGTATTTCAGTTCTGAAGCAACACTTTCCATCTAGAGGGATAAAAATCTATTCCAAACTGCACTGTTGCTCAAGAACATTAGAAGACTATATTTTATCGGCGTCTGCAACAAATAGAACTGTCATTCTCATGTTCTATGTCGACAAGTAAACCTCCTAATAGAAGACCAACCTATGCAGAGTTAGGTGAAGGGTCATATCTAGGAAGGTAATTTTGATGGAATTAGATGAAAAGAGCCGAGTGCAACACTGGTGAACATTACTTTTCGTTAGGTTACAAGTAGACTGAAGTATTGAGAAAACTTACTTGAAACAAGCATTCGGATTCAATTGTCCATCAACGTAGAAGTAAAGCTTTAAATGCCACAAATCGAGAAGACAGCCAATTATACTACCCTTTTTGAAAGCGCAAGATCCCAAGGGATATGTTTGACCATCATGCATAAGTGCACCACGATAACTTAATCCCCACGAATCACAATCAATACCAAGTACCGAACGGAATTCTTGTGAATAATGATCTAGTTTTGCACATGTTCGACCGATTCCAACCATCTAATAAGTATGAAATGTAACACAAAACTTATTTCGAAGCACGTTTGCCAGGTGATTAACACGTCTCCAAGCACTTTAATTAGTGAGAAACATAAAAGCATCATTATAATAAGAAACTTAAAACCACTCACATTTAATACCGTGCAAGGTACAAATGAACATTTCTTGACTTTTCAACTTAAAACTCGACGTCTTTTGATCTTTCAACACAGTGAACCGGGTAGCGATATCAAATTGAAGTAGCTACATAGGCTACACTTACTACGTTGTAAAGCCTTATGACCATGAAACCCGATTAGATCGTGCCACCTTTCACGGCAACTGCTTCAGATAAGCAGCTGAACTTAATAATAGTGCAGTGCACATATATTTGCTTGGTGTGAAACAGAAGCACCTGAAATTCTAAATCATATAGTGTGAAACCAAATATGCTATACATGTTCTATACACAAAGTAGGTAACTAAAGTATATTTGCGCTGCGGCGAAACCCTGTACGATTTGAAAATTAGTAAGACAAAAGCCCTCAAGCTGGGATCAAACCCTTACACTACCAACCGGTGGCGACAAACAGATTTAATATTCCTAAAAACGTACCACATCTGTCCCATAAAGTGGAGATACAGCTTTAAGTTCCCAATAGTGAAGGCCATTCGTTAGTAGGGCAGTCCCACGTGCAACAGCTGTGCCCCAGCTAATAGTCGGATGAAATGTAACAGTCTTATCATTTTCAGACAGCTGGAAGGACTGCAGTGGAGATTCCGGTTTACACCAACGCCATTCCAATGCTTAAAAATTTAAATATGATGTAATCCAGGCTCACGTTCATCAATACTTTCATTGCAACGACAAAGTAATATCCAACTTAGAACCTGAAACTTTGGAGAATCAGGATCGCAGTAAGCACATTTCTGAACAGTCAACATCAATAATACAAAACTAAACAGCCTTGTACATTTAAGCGCTCTTTCCAAAAACCTCAAAAAGGCTCTCTGGCTCACCTAAACAAAAACATCAAATGTTGGAGCACTTTGCTTTTATGTGTACTTCTTCAATATATGGGATCCTTTTTGACCATTTCGTCAAAACAAACATTAAAAGAAGTTCATACATGTAGTTTCTACATTTTTCCTTCATGTTACGCTCCTCAGTGACGTTTATTTGTGTATCTTTCTTGCTCCCGATCCAGTCAGACGGTTACAAAGAGGTTGTGCCATAAATTTTCTGGAATCTTGGATTTCGTTTAGGTTACTCGTTCAGGCAATGCTACGAATTCGGATTGGGTTGTTTTGGACTTATACTGGTCCAGTCTACAACGCTATGATAATCCAAACATTTGTACAACAATACCTCGTATCACGTAAACATTCCCTTAGACTTATATCATATCGAATGAATATCTACCTGAAATCTCGACTACATGGAAGCTTAAGTAATTTGGGAAGATTTTATGACTGTATTAGGTAATTTTATACTTTATTTTTGATGCTTAATAAAATTTCGTAGTTACTTCATAATAGTGGTCATATATTCTGTCACTCTCGTTAGTTTGTGGCCGAAATCATTTGTATTTATGCGTTTTAGCACTACAGAAAGACGTACTAAGTGTACACAAACAGTCTCGATCTGTCTCAAATATATATACTTCGTCATGCGATTAGTTCCCTGTATGAATTCAAATAAAGCTAGAACAAATATCTGTCTCTGAACTCCACTCAACTATTACACCACCCATCCTTAATGTTTCCTTAATTCTAACACTGAATAAACTCTGACGTGTTCTTGCACACACATATATATATAGTTACCTTTGATAGCCTTTGTCATTCATTTATAACAATTTTTCGATACTATTTCTTATCTCAATGTTAAATCCTGATACATATTTGGTTGTAAGCAGCTGACGAGAAACCACGAAACATAATGAATTCAAATTATTCTGCATTAATATTTGTCTTCGCTTATTTTAGATACTTCGTCGTAATATCATACTCAACATGTTACTTAACGCCAGATGCTATATCTTCCGCACCACTCCTTAACATATTGGCCATGTTATCTGATCCTTCTATACCCACTGGTGGTTGCCTTTTTCACTAATGTTTGCTATCCGATTTACATTCACTGTTGTCTCACACGTTGACTCATGACTCGACTTTCTTATTACACGTATGTCGTGCTAATTTCCTTTTCGGTTCATTTACATGGAATTCGGGTCTGGCAATTGTCTTTAGGATTCCCCACATACTCTAACCTCAAACGTAACAAACCTTATCGAAAGAACTCAACATGGGTTGATATAACTTTAAACAGTCACATTGCTTTTTATCATTGTCACTGCTAGTCGCTATACATTCAACCAACCTGTAACGGAATTAAAACGCCGAAAATCCCTCAACAGAGTTTTTGTTGGACAGTACTGTCATTTATTTGTTTCTTCTCCCTGTCGTGTGTTTTAACCTTTGCTCAGATCTCTTTTAACCACCCTTTGTGTTTTTCAGTCTTTCTCGTCTGTGCTTTTATTATGTGAGCTTGATTAGAAGGTTACCTTTTGTTACCTAATTTTTCTGTTGCATGTTGCCGGACTATTGACAATAAGGTAGTGTTTGACTAAGCCCAAGGTCACAGCGTGGTTAAGTGTGTGACTGTTAACCTTTGACTCTCTGCTTGGAAAGATAACTGAAGTCCCTGCAGACAGATATGGGATCCCATCTTGCTGGGAATATTTTTATAGATTCACAGGTAGTGAACTCTATTGTATTAACTGTTTCTTTTGTTGTTCAGCACGCTAATTTTTGTTAGAGACATTTTTGACTTTATAGCACAGGCTGTACTGTTCGTTGTGCTTTGTATTTTTGATACAATTTGTTCTATTTCTTAAATTATAACCGTTTAAATTGAGCACAGATTTGTGTTTTGATATAATATAATACGAGTAACTCAAAAACCCTTCGCACGCTTTACAGAATAACGTAGTCTGGTTTAATCGAATAAAGTTTGGATCGTTAGTTCTGCGTTCAAATCAAATATTGGCAGTTCGGTCGTTGCAGTTCTCAAACGAACAGTAGTCACGCGTGGCAAACATTGAAATACCTGGCAAGCGCAATAAGAAAAGCCTTTTTGCAATATTTTGATATTTTTAAAATCGATTTGGTGGTTGTTGAAAATGGCATGAACTGCTATTGCCGATTTAGTTTGAAGTTGGTTCAATTCTACAGGATTGTTAGGTTTCTTTGTGTATCTAATTTTCTACTCATTGGGATATTACAAATATATTATTTTTATTTATATTAAAATTATTGATTTTTGATATTTGCCGACCAGTTTCTGCCGCTACATTTCTATTTGTCTTACAGCTTAGCTGTACTCAGAGGGCTCTTATGGATAATTTGGCAACCTCCGGAGCGCTCTTACTTCTTCCATTGACCTTCTAGAATTTCCATTTATGCAGAATCGTCCGAAACAATTTCCTTTACTGTAGTCCGTTGAAACCCGTATAGCTTTGTAGGGGAAACTACTGACGCCTGAAATCATGTCAAAATCACAAATGTATCAGTCCAGTCTAGTTTCTTTCTTCCATGTCTGCGAATGATCCATTTATTCCTATTAACGTCCATCTTAACCTCGGCGCTCAGGCATCTATAAGGATGGTCAATTCATTTACTGAACATTTCTTTGGAACTAACTGCAGCTCCTTATAAAACTGACCATGATCATCCTCACTGCTATCGTTGATGGATGGGTAACATTAAGAGACATTCGTTGTATTCCTTTTCATTTTAGCTTTGAAAGATGCTTTAACGGTCATAGAATCGTGTCTTTAATCCTATCAAAGATTTTCACGTTTCTTTAATGGACATCAATACAACCCCTTGTGTCTAATGTACTATTTTCCTTCACGGTAAGAATACAGCAACATCTCGGAGATAAGTCTTTTCAATCAAGATTGTTATCAACAGGTTTTAATTACACCATGTATAGCTACTTTGTTTTTTATTTCTCCTGCTGCGTCGAAAGACATTCGGATTCCCCGAATCGTTAGAAAATTTCATGCACATGCGCATCGGGTCTATGGATTCTGAAGAATCCTGGCTTCTACCACAAGACGCTATCACTCTTCTATATAAAGGCCCTTCAACACCAAGGTGGAGTGTGATATTTTTGTGATGATTAGAAGTATTTAGATGTGTTAAATTAGAATTCCCGAAACAGTGTAATAAACAGCAAATAGAACTAGGTGAGCACAAATGAACGTATTGTATTTGTAATTCGAAATCAGGCGGACATCAAATACAAGAATGTCATTATTTCATACAAACACCAATTCCAAATTTCTCCAGTTACCTATACTTTTTCTCCTTAAGTTCATCATATGTCTATCCGACTGTGTTTTGGATAAAGACTCTGTATGATCTAGAATATACTCATTAGTATTAGAATTAACAAATGAAATCGGAATGGACTTACCTGGGTTCTGGAGTTGTATGCAAACACCATGTCGGCTGTGTACTGACACCACTGATATCTAAAATTTGAATCACAGACATTCCAAAGCTACACTCCCCTACGAAATAATGTACTGTCCTTGTATGGCAATGTCAATTTTCCTGTTCGCATCGTTTCATATCTCACACATCGAATATTATACGTGAGTATTTGAGGATACACATTGACATATAATTTTAGGAATTTAAAATGTGACTTCGATGTGCGTTGGAATACACAAGACCACCCCTTTTGATCTATCATATCACGGACTATGGATTCTACTTGACACAAATTAGTTGTGAGAATATCCAACATCTGATACAATAACATTAGAAATGGGACTAGAATTCGACTCATTAGAGACATATTTGTCAAAGTCATTAAGAATATCATTAGTGATAAGTCCTTTGTGAGGACGAATATTATCTAATGCGACACCAAAAGAACTGTAATCAGATTTTAACTCATTTAGAACTTGTTCCTCACATTTAATTAAGGTCTCACTAGAAATAAATGAATCATTAGCACAAACGATATCTGATAAAATGAAATCAGAGTTCTTATAAGGATTTGGTGCACTCGATATAGCTTTCATATATTTGTAAGTAATTTCATTAGAAGTACATGAATCACGGGAACAACGCATATCTGGTACAATAATATCGTAAATCTGATCAGAGTATGATTCATTTGAAACATCCAACTTAATAGGATCGGAATTACAAAGCTTAGCACTACTTACAGTGAAACGAATGACAGTTTTACAAACTGCCTGTATGTGTCCAATTTTACTACATTTCAAGCGTTTAGCGTTACGGAATACACATGAACTACATGAGTGAAATGTGCCACAGTACAAATATTTACCAAGACTGTGCTAATCTTCGTAACTTGCTTTGCAACTCCTCAATGAGTAGTTATCTTAATAACCTTGAGTATGAATTGGATCACGATGACGTAGTAATGTGGCGAAATTCCTGATGTCGTCTTCAGTCTTCAGTAATAAGGATAGGAGGTCTATCGACCTATATTAATCCTTGCAGTTCGTAATACTGTGGAGGTCCAGTCTCGTTTTTAATATATCAACAGAAGGTGCTGATATTACGTATTCCAGTAGAGAATTCCAGTAATTCACCACTCGGTGTGAGCTATGAAACTCCGGACGTAAACGATTTGATCTCGGTTTTTGGGATTTCTTCAAATCTCCTCGCAAATGATCAGTTCTAGACGGAAGTAAAAGAGAAGACATGTCGATACCAAGGTTATCGTTCAGTATACGATAAGCCAATAAAAGATCACC